TTTGAGTTAGGTTGGCAAGTGTCTTGATCATTATGTCTATCACAGCAAGGATCATGCTGTGTTTTAACAACCTCTTTTCGGGTGTGTATTATTGTAGCTTCTGGCATTGTGGAATAAAAGAGCCTTCATTGAACAAGTGAGGAGAATGAGGTCCAAGGAGAAAGCTATTTGCTCCTGGACGCCATGCAGAGTGGGAGAGCTGGGACTAGACCTCAAGTCTCTCGGCTATCAGGCCAAATCAGTTGACTCTATTCAACAGATGTTGGTTGAGCACCTACCACCTGCCAGGCTACAGGCTTGGCATGAAATATGGAGGGAAATAAAGAAGATGTGGCTTCTCAACAAACACACCGTCTGGAGGGGGACTCCCCTGTCCCAAATAAGAATAGCTTGTTAAACCCCGTAAATCTCTGGGCCAGCCCGTGGCTCACTCGGGAGAGTGTGTTGCTGATAACACCAAGGCCAAAGGTTCGGATCCCTGACAACACCAAGCCAAGGGTTGAGATCCCCTTACCAGTCATCTTTAAAAAAAAAAAAAAAGGTGCAAATCAATGCATATAGTCTGTTAGTATTTGTATTTATGAAAAGATTAGCTCAGCTGGTTAGAGCACAGTGTTGATAACACCAAGGTCAAGGGTTTGGATCCCCATACGGGCCAGCTGTCAAAAAAAAAAAAAAGAAAAGAAAAGAAAAGTGTAAAAGAAGAATCTCTGTATATGCTTGTGTCTGTACCAACTATTCCTGAAATGTGTACAAGACTGGAGACAGCAGCTATGTTGGGTGTGGGTACCAGATAGCTCAGAACAAGGGTTCACTATACCTTCCTTTGTAACTTTTGAATTTTTCGATATGATTGTGTTACCTATTTTTAAATCTAATATTAAACTTTAAAATATAATTATCATCCTCAGAGAGATAAGAGAAGTTATTGCATTCTGGACTGAAAAAAATTGATAAATACAACAAAAAAAACTTTTTTTTCTTCACTAAAGGATACACGAAACCTTCCAAAGAGTAAAACAAAAAGACAAATGGGTTGAGGGAGTGGCCTCGGGAATTTCAGCTTTATGTTTAATGTTTTAATATTTTATGAGGAGAATACAGTTACATTATTTGTGTGATTAAAAAACAAGTTGAATGCGCACGGCAATTCATTTAAGGCATCTGGCACACAGTAGGTCCTTGGAGTTTCCTTTCCCTACAGGAGCCCAGAGCTTGACAAGCAGTCCCAGGAACCTTCTGGACTGGAGGGCTCCCCAGAGGTTACAGGGTTTGAGCAGCTGATTGTAATGGTGATGGGGCTGGCACAATTTGTCTGCTCCTAATATGAAGGCCTTTTCTTTACAAGCTGTGTTGAGGGACACACAAGGTCCCTGAAATTAACTACTAGTTCAGTCAGGTTTGACTCATGTGGATGGAGCAAGTTCATGAGTCAGTGTAGGAATGACCCAGCCCCCTTCCATCCCAACTTCTCTTGTCCTTACCATCTTTTTAAATTCTTCTTTACACCTGTCACTTGCCATTCCATTCACATTTCAGTAGTCTTCTTTTAAATTTTTTCTCTCATAAGAGATATCTTTCCCCATCAGTTTATTTAAGACTTCAAATAATGTCTACATCTGTACTGTCCAATATGGTAACCACTAGCCACATGTGGTCAATGAGCATTTGAAATGTGGTTTTTCTGAATTGAGATGTACTGTAAGTATAAAGTACACATCAGATTTTGAACAATTTGTATGAAAAAAAGAATATAAAATAATATATTGATTATATGTTGAAATGATATTTAGATTTATTAGACAATATTATTAAATCTAATATTATTAAAATTAATGTCATCTTTTTTCTTTTTTGTTTTAAAATGCGGCTACTAGAAAATTTAAAATTACGTAGTGGTTCGCTTTCATGGCTTGTATTCTTTTTCTCTTGGACCACACTGGTCTAGATAGCATGAAGAAGCGATGTTACTTTCTTAAGAAAAGTTGTAGCACATTGAAAAACATGGATTTATGTACGTAGTTTCTTTTTTTTTTTTTTTACAAAAGATGACCGGTAAGGGGATCTTAACCCTTGACTTGGTGTTGTCAGCACCACGCTCAGCCAGTGAGCGAACCGGCCATCCCTATATGGGATCCGAACCCGGGGCCTTGGTGTTATCAGCACCGCACTCTACCGAGTGAGCCACGGGCCAGCCCGAGAAAGCCCTTTTAAAATATGTTTGTATTAGTCTGTTTCTGTTGTTTATAACAAATACCTGGAACTGGGTAATTTATAAAGAAAACAAAATTTATTGCTTACAATTTCGGAGGCACATCTGGTGAAGGTCTTGCTGGTGACTTTATAGCAATGCAGGGGTCTCACATGGCAGAAAATGGTGGACTGGAGAGAGTCAGAAAGCCCTTTTTAAAGTGTGGTCTCTGTGTTGCCTACATCAGAATCATGGGAAAGGCTTGTTAGAAATGAACCTTGGGCCTCCTTCCACATCCTTTGAATGAGGCTTGGTGGCGATAGGACCTAGAAATTCATTCCCCGAAGCAGGAAAATATAGAAGCCACAATCTCAGTTATGCAAATACATTATTTTTCTACAGTTCAACTTACCTCTATTTTGGGTCTCCATTCTACCTTCTTGCAGAAACTATTCTTTTACTCATTTCCAGGTGAACTCAGTCATCCCACCCCACCCCTTTTCCCACCTCCACCACTGATCTAAAATTGGGGAGTTCCTTAGCACCACAGTCTAGGTGGGTTGTGGGGGAGGGCTGCTCAGTGAGAGTCCTCTTTCTGGGATGGATCCTCCTGGGTCCCCCACCTCTATGGGTCATATGTGAACTCATTTCTGCTCTGCTCCTGCTGCCCCAGGATTCAATAGCAATAGCAATGTGCCACCTTTCCAAACCACACCCCAAGTCCTCGGCTCTCCAAATTAATCTACAATTCTGGCCCTCCCACATCCCTCGGACTCAGCCAGGAAAAATGGGGATCATCCCTAAACCATCGTCTAATGTCCTGGCTGGTCCTGCTCTAGGTACCCCCAGTTAGTGCAGGGAGTTGGATGGGGGCAGGGGGCCTCTGCCTGTTTGTACCTACCTCCTTCCAACCCTCCCTGTCTTATACCCAGACACTAACACAAAAGGATGGAATTTGGGATCTTTGTTCTCTGACTAGAAAGTAAGGACCCCCATGGCCGCTGTTCTTTTCTTTCTTTTCACATAGGCTTAGCCACCCCAGACATTCTGTATCAGTACTCGAGGACAGGGATGTGGCTGCTCCTCGAAGGGGGAGGGAGACAAGAGCTTCTTATCTTAGATCCGGCTGAGTCCCTACACACACTCCCTGCTCACTCACCTCCCCCAGACAGCTGGGAAATGACACCTCTGGTGACAGAGCCAGTCTCTGGGCTTCTGCTGGGAGGGGGTGGGGCACTGCAGTGGAGGAGGATCTCACACCCAGAGGCCCTAAGAGGCCTGGGTGGGGGAAGAAGAAGCTGGCTCCTGTTTGTCTCAGAGAGGAAGGCCACAAGACTCCCTTTCCCTCTTCCAGGGATTTAGTGAGCACCCCCACCATCCCAGGGCCACTAGTCCTCACCTAAAATGCCATCTTCACCCTTGAGACTTGGTCCCATCTCTGATAAGCTGGGTGGAGTGTGTACAGCTGCTGGGTCTGTTGAGAGGACCTAGATGGAGACCAGTGAAAGATGGACTGGGCTGTGGATAATCTACCATGTTGTCTAGATAAAGCTATTCAACAAATACATATTTACTGCCTACATATGTGATGTGTTTGGGGTCCAGAGAGAGGACAGGAACTGTCCAAGGTCACATCGGTACTGCAGGTACTGCCCTTGTCTACTGTCTTCCGAAGGAAGGAAGGGAGGGAGGGAGGAAAGAAGGAAAGAAAGAAGGAAAGAAGGAAGGAAGGAAAGAAGGGAGGCAGGGAAGAGGGAAGAAAGGAAGGAGCCCTGTCCTCCTGGTTCAGGCCCTGCTCCAGGGTACCTTGTCCTGGGCCAGGGTAGCTGACCCAAGTCTGGGGTAGAGCCAGGTTTTGGCCAATCTGCAGCCATCAAGCGAAGCAGCCCACGGGGCAGCCTCACGCCCTGCTCCCTGGGGTCCTTTGCTTGCCCGAACTCAGTCGGGCCGCTCCAGATTTGCCTGCCAAGTACCCCGGTCTGAACTTCAGTTGTGAGGAGGGGCAGCATTCAAGACCTGCAGCCCTTCCTGGGACTTGGTTGGGGAGGAAGAGCCTGCCTCATCTCATTTTCTTCATACTGTCCTACTCTGCGGCCAGGGGCCCCAGACCACCCTTGGGACACCCACTTGCGTGGTAAGGGGATGGCACCAACTCCCACCGCTCCGCTCTACTCCACCAGCGGGGTCCCAGCTATTCGCATAGCCCCGGGCACCTGCGCTGGCCCTTTCTGATTTCCCACCCACAGCCCTTTCCAAGTGCCTAAGGCGGGTCACCAGGTGTTGGGACCCAGGCGCAGTGCGAGACCTTGGGCCCTGCGGGGTTCGGACTGGGTTTATCAGTTTTTGGTTCGCGGGTGAGGTGGGGCCGGACTGCAGGGTGCTGTCAGGGGCAGGTGGCACAGGGTTTGGGGCAGCTGTGGTGGGCTGTGATCATTCAGGGTGGGTGGCGGTAGGTCCGGGGAAGCCGCAGCAGTCAGCCTCGGGGACCCGCGGGGGCTGTGGCGGGTGCTGGGACACCGCGGCGCGAGGACAGCGGCC